ACCACCAAAGGCAGTTCCTTTGCTGGGGCACAGCACTGATATCACTCACCAACCCAAGGTTTCCCCAGGCATGGCATCTCACCCAGGGACACTTGCCCTTAACTAAAAAGCCAGACCTCTTTTCCAATGCCCTCTCTGAGTGTGCAGTTAGCATTGGCACAGCCACATTTCCTGTCAGCACTCCTTGTTCTTGGGTTTCTCTGCACATGTGTGTGTGTGTGTGTACACAGCAGGTCACAAGGCTCATAATCCCACATGCAGGACTGTTTCCTTTGCCTTTGCAAAAACACTGCATTGCTTCAGGAACTGGAATAGATTGCCCAGGGAGGTGGTGGAGTCACCATCCCTGGAGGTGTTGAAGAGGCATCTGGATCTGACACTGGAGGATCTGGTTTAGGGTTTAGGGGTTCCAGCAGTGACAGGTTAATGGTTGGACTCAATGATCTTAGAGGTCTCCTCCAGTCTTGATGGTTCTATGATCTTGGCTGGTGCAAAAGAGCCATTTTTGTTGGAAACAGCTTTCAGTGACTCCCTGGCCAAGTGAGCAGGAGGCTGGCTGTATTTCCCTAGCACTGCTGGGGTCTCCTTTGGGTGGGAGTAAAGAAAGCCAAGCAGGGATGGGCTCACCTGCAGCTGAGCTGTACCTATAATTGTGGGGGATGCACACAGGCTGTCTGCCACATGCTGAGAGAGGACACCCCTGGTGCAAACCCCGTGGTGTCCTGGTTTGTGGCCCCTCTGCAGCACCATGGGGCAGGTGATGCTGCTCAGTGGCTAAGAAAAATCAAGTCCTTTGCTGAAGGGAGGAGAGACATCCACACCCCAGTGATTGGAAATACATCTGTGGCTGCTTGGAAAGTCATTTTTGCTACATGAAAGGCTGGGCCGTGAGGACAGGGCCTTCTCCAGACTGTATCACCTCTTGGCTTCCCTGCTAGTACAGCTCATTTATTTGGTTTGGCACCAACTAGCTGAGCCATGTAGCTGCCAGATTCACCATGTATAAGGAGCTGCTGATGTCAGGAAGAGATTTTGGCCACAACGAAAGCCCTGCAGATGTTGTCCAGGCAGTTCTGCTCTCCATGAGTATTTCAGAACAGTCAAGCCATGTAACAATTTTACAATGATTATTTTTCTTACATGGCTGGGATTTCTGTCAGGCTGCAGCAGGAGCAAGGGGCAGCATGCAGGGCAAAGGCTGGGTGTGGTGTGTGGTATGTGCTGGCAGCAAGGCTGGAGAGATGCCAGAGGAACAGAACCTGGCAAAATGTGGACTGGCACTCCAGACCAGCTTGGAAGGAGCTGGTAGACCCCTTGGTGCAGCGATTTGCACCGTGCTGTTTGTCAGGCTGAGCAGAGGCAGAGATGTTGCCTGCCCACATTCCAATTCCTGTGGTTGCCACATTTCAGGATTTTGACTCAGGCCCCAGCTGGAGCAAAGAGAGACTCTTTTCACCTGTCTGCAGGAGTAGCTGCCTTGAGCTAGCTGTGCCTTGCTCCTCCCTGCCCTACCTGCTTCTTAACTGGGCAATGAATCACCACCTGTGGGTGCCTCTTCCACAGAGGCATTTCCCAGCCAAACCAAGGCAAACCCATCCAGACCCACTCATGCTCCCTCTGCAGATGCTCTGCACCATGCTGCTGAATGGGAATCTCAGGCCACAGGCAAAAATGGGCTTACACCCCTCACCTGAGTTAGGGGGCATTTAGATGCCCAGGGTGTAACCTGCCCCTTCCCTCTCTCCCAGCTCCTTGGCTATACATAGCCTGGAGGACACGTGGACCTTGCCAGCACCATGCCCTGACCTATGCAGGGCAGGAGGAAAAGGCTTTTTCTCTGCCTACAAATCTGCTCAACCCAGCAGGTGACCTCAGAGCACACCTGAAGTTGGCTAGTAGGATTAGAGGCTGCTGTTTTCCTTGCAAATGTTTCCGTAGCCACATCCCCTCCTTAGCCTCTGTGTTACAGCCTTGTCATTGTTACTTCATCCTGGCCTGTCCCTGCTCTCTTACTCTGGCCCTATTCACCTTTTCCCCATAGGTAAGTTGTTAACTTTTGAAGAAATCCCAGATCTGGAAGAACCAGAAAGAGATTCTGACTTCTGTTCAGGCATCTCTTACCTTTAACTGGCCTTTATCTATGTGGGAATTACTGAAGGGTTTGCAGAATGGTCTTCCCCATTTCCTTTGAGAGCCTCAGAGCCACTTTTGGTTCACTTTGTTGTCTAATAGAGACACAAACCTCAGTCAAGTTGCCTTAATGTTTATTTTATTTAAAGAATCAGAAACACAGTCATTGTAGTTCATTTGTACTCATATCTGCCAACATTTCCTAAACCACGTTAACATTCATGTATAACAAAAACATTTTCTGAGCTGTGCAAAGTTCAAAGGAATTGTTCAACCACTTGAACCCATTTCTAGAAGAGCAAACCTGGCATTTTACAAACTGAGGCCACCAGAAGGAATCTTCTCTCTCCCCCACCCTGTTGCAGGAGATGCAGATGCTCCCTCCTCCCCCTTTCCCTGGCATGACAGGTAAAAATCAGACCACAGTACAAGTTGAACCTCTCTCTCAGTCCAGGACTTTCTGCATGGCCCTGGGTCATGTTTTCGTATCACTGAGCTGTATTAAGTTCAGCTTAATACTGGTGCTCCTGGCATGGAAGTGATTTGTCCAAGAAGATTACTCAGTAACCCAAACTGTGATGTTAAGCAATAAACAGGGGCCAGAAACAGCTGCTATCAGAACAGAACACACCACCACCCCAACCCCCAGTGTTTCTCCTTGCAGCAAGGTATGACTGGAAGGGTTGTTGACCAGTTAAAAAACCCATCATCCTCCCCTCAAAATATATTTTAAAGCACTGATTTAATGATGTGAGATCTGCATGTTTTCCTTGATCTCACACACCAACTTTTGTCCTGTTCGGGTTAAGCATGAAGAGGTGGAAATCTGGAACCATTTTAGATCGGGCTAAACAGAATAGGCAGCAAGCAAGCTGTCATCCTGTTTCGTTTTCCTGACTGTCGTAAATACACCATGGAACAGAGTTTTAAGAGTGCTTTAACCACTGTAAGTTGTCAGAAAAAAACCCCTCATCTCTGACAGATCTAACCCAGAATTTTTATTGGAACCAGTAATACACGTTTTGGAGTTGTTGACTCGCTAACTGTGCAGTTTACTGTTCGAGGTGCAGCGACACCAATCCTGACCCGGACCCTAGTAAATGGAACAGATATGGCTCTAGTCTCAAACAAGTCTTTCCAGAAGACATTTCTTCAGTCTCTTATTAGTTATAAAAAGGCAATTTCCTCTCGACAGTAACTAAATTTTTAGTGGCTGACTCATTACAGTCTGGAATATCAACAAATGTGGCAACATTAAGTATAAAAAGAAACACCCTGAAAACGATGCCTCCCTGTTTGAAGGTGCTATACTTGGCCATGGACTGTGTTTCTGGAACTGGTTTGTTGCACGTGACAGCAAGAAGAAACTGATTTCACAGAGAACAAAGTCACAGAGCTGAACTTAAGTAGGAATGCTCACTTGACATGGGTTTTGATACGTACTAGTCCACACAGCTTGAATGAAAACAAAACTCACACCTTCGCGGTAACGCAGCGGTGATGCTCACCCACAGGGCCTCTTCCTCCTCGTAAGATCATCTCCAGGTTGCAGTGCTTTTAAACACCCACCACATGTGGGCTTTGGCAAACAGCCAGCTGCTGTCAGAGGCGAGGGATGGATCCAGCTATGGAAAACCTTTCATCACCATTCATTCCTCTCGAGCCGTTTTAAATCCTCTCGCGGTCACATCACGGCGTCTTATTCTCATCCTGCTTCATATCAATAACTGGCTAAACTCGCTTTACGTTTATTGCACCTTTAAGTCCCCAGTAGGTGGAAGCTTATATTGCCTGATATGGTTTGTATTGTTGCTTGACCACATTAAGAAATAGAACAGCCTCCAGAACTGTACATTTCTACAAGGAGAAATCACGTTTCGGGAACGCGAATTACAGCTGTCGCGGATCAGCTCTCGTCTCCGTCGTGCAACGACAGAGGGAAACTCCACAGTCCCTGCATGTGCTAGAACCTGCAGTGTTCTTCTTATTGCCATGAAAAAGTCAATTAAAATGACTCCTCTGGGAAATTACTTTCAATTGTGGAGTCATTATCACCCTCCAGACAGAACGCTGTGCTTCAGCCTGGGTCTTCTGCCATTCTCAATACGTAGAAGAGAGCAAATGTGTGTGTTTCACACACACATTGCCCCAGGTATATTTATCAGTGACCACGTGGCTTTTTCTCACTTTTCCTCTATGAAGCACGAACAGTCTGATCTCGATCTTCAGGTACGTCTCTAATTTCGTATGTTGAATGCAAACCTTGTTGCAGCCTCTCTGTTTAACCAAATCTTTGAACAGTTGAAAAAGAATAGCACCAGATGTATGAAAGAGAGGAAATGTCTGACCTAGTAGGAATAGATATATAAAGTAGAGCAATTCTTACAGTAAAAAGTTACGTCGTACAAAAAAGCAATGGAAAGTGATACCGAAGGACAAAAAAATCCATGCTGCATATAATAAGGGCAGAAGACAGGCAAAAGGGATTCTGCTCAAATAACCACAGTTTAATGGTGGAGCTGGACTTCCTCCAGGACCTCCCTGGCAGCAGCGCCAGGACACGGGGTGGTATGGGACTCTGAGCACTAACACACTCACCGACAAACTCGCGCAGCATTTCTCTGAGGTATATAGAAAGCATGACATTAACGTTTTGGACTCCTCATTCTTTCTTTGCACTATGATCTTTAGCTGGGGTTTCTCCCCACCCTCTTTTTCCCTCAGGGAAAAATGAAATCCCAGTTTAAGAGCTTCCTAGCATACCTCCTTGAACTCTCAAATCCACCTTGCATAGGCCAGTAATAAGAACACTGCAGCTCTGACAAATAAGTTACAGCAATATAACAGCTTTCCTCTTAATTTTCTTTTTTTTTTTTAAAGATATCTTCTCTATAATTTACACAAAGGGTTAACAGCCAGAGTTTAGGTTACTACAGTCCAGATGGGTGTCCTTTCAGTCTGTGATTCCAGGTGGAAGGCACTACTTCAACATACCACCGTATGCACCGCACGTGGTCCCGGGAGCACAGCTGGGCACTGTGTCTCCAGACCTGCAGACTGAAGGGCCTGGGGGAAGTCTTTGGAAATACAAATGGCAGTGGTTATCAGTCCAGTCTCTGTTTGCTGTCTCTTCTTGTGCTATGCAGTTTCCCCTGAAAACTCCTCAGTTGAGAGAGCGACGATTTGTCCTCAGAAGCTCTCGACAAAGCTCCCGGGGAAGAGGCCCGTCCTGCCGTTCCTCTGCAATGTCCCTTTGTACCAGCCATCCTCCCGTTTCTTGTGCACAAACACAATGTCACCTTCCTTCAGTTCGATCTCGGCCTCGCTCTGCGGAGGGTATGGGACCACAACGCGGTACCTTTGGAGAGAAAAAATGCAAAGACTTCATAGAATCATAGAATCAACCAGCTTGGAAGAGACCTCAAAGGTCATCGAGTCCAACCCTACTTGGTCATGATGGGAGCAACCAGGCATCACTTCCAGAGATCTTGGAAAAAAATCACTAAGTTACATTTTCTCAAGCCAGTTGTATCCAATGCAGCTACACTAGAGATCTTGGAAAAAAAATCACTAAGTTACATTTTCTTAAGCCAGTTGTATCCAATGCAGCTACATTTTCTACTAAAACTAAGTAAGACAGGGAGATTTCTGGCCAGGTTGGCTGGAGACTTGGCTAGAACGTGATCTGGAGCCATGACACGACAGCAGGAAGGTATTGTCCAGCCATTCACAGAGGTTCCCACTTCCAGCTGTGTGCTGAGCCTGCTCCAGGGACTCAGACACTTCATTCTAGTGCTGCATCTACCTTGCTGTAAGCATGCCCCTATGGGGACAGGCTGAGGGAGTTGGGGCTGTTGAGCCTGGAGAAGAGAAGGTTGTGTGGAGACCTCAGAGCAGCCTTTCCATATCTGAAGGGGCTCCAGGAAAGCCAGAGAGGGAATCTCAGCTAGGAGCTGCAGTGACAGGACAAGGGGCAATGGGGAAAAATTGAAGGAGGGAAAGTTAGGTTAGATATTAGTTTTCGCTGTGAGGGCGGTGAGACACTGGCCCAGGTTGCCCAGGGAGGCTGTGGCTGCCCCAGCCCTGGCAGTGTTCACAGCCAGGTTGGATGAAGCCTTGAGCAACCTGGTGTGGTGGGAGGTGTCCCTGCCCAGGGCAGGGGGTTGGGACTAGATGGTCTGTAAGGCCCATTTCAACCCTCAGAATTCTGTGGTTCTATGATCTTCAACTTGATCAAGTTGCTTGGGCTTGTGTATCCACTGTATGAGTCAGTTTGGTGTCATCTGCAAACTTGCTGAAAGTGTACTCAATCCCACTATGTCAATGTTGAAAATATTAGACTCATAGAATCATAGAATCATCAGGGTCGGAGGAGACCTCTAAGATCATCGAGTCCAGCCACTAACCTGTCACTGCTGGAATCCCTAAACCAGATCCTCCAGTGTCAGATTCAGACACCTCTTAACTACTTCCAGGGATGGGGACTCAACCACCTCCCTGGGCAATCTATCCCAGTGCCTGAACACCCTAACAGGGAAAACATTGTTCCTAAGATGTAGTCTGAATCTCAGTTGAATAGCACTGGTCCCAGTATGGACCTGTGAGGGACACCACTTGTCACCAATGCCCATTGTGATACTGAGCCATTGACCAGTACCCTCTGGATGTGACCGTCCAACCAATTTCTTATCCACCAAACAGTCCACCCATCAAATCCATCTTTCTCTAATTTAGAGACAAAGGTGTTGTGGGGGATCATGTCAAAGACCTTACAGACATCCAGATAGATGACACCTGTAGCTCTTCCCTCGTCCACTGTTGATGAAAAATGGGGCTTGCACTGCTCCCACTGCCTGTGATACCAGCAGAAGTTAGCTAAAGCAGTTCACATTTTTCTTATTATGCTTCTTGAGAATGTACTTTGGGTCCCTCAGACCCGGAAGAGAAGCTAAAATGCAGAGGTATCAAATGACTTGCAAAGCACTTTTCAAACCAACAGGGAGCCCCTGCTCTGAACCATTCACAGGGCTCTCTGGAAACTTAGTTTTCAAGTGTCACTTCATTTCAATGAAGTAATGATGTGTCTGATCTTCATATGGCCATTCTGCACTCAGGGCTTATCATCAGGCATCCTCCTGAGAGCACAGACTGGGCCCTTTTATATCAACGCACTTGTGCTCAGAGCAGGGAATATATTTCTGCTGCTCTGGTGTTTTTTCCTTCTGCACATGTACTTTTGCAGTCATCTGGCATTTGGTTAACAGTCAATTACTGTCTTGCTAATTGCAAAGTAATGAATATAGTAAGCTGGTTAAAAGATGCCAATTGATTACCTAAAGCCCATCGCCTGGGGATGAATATTTCCTCGATGGTTGCATGGCCACTGATGCCTCAGTCATGCCTGCAACAATGTATTTGTTTAAGATAATATCCTGTCCTTGGGGACTTAATTTGCCATGTCCTGGAGGTTGTGGACCACTCCCTGAGGCCATTCCTAGTGAGATGGTACCAAAGCAAAGTGGCAGTGACCCATTTGCTTTGCAGATATTACTCTAGTGACTGCAGCTCTGAAACTAGGGACTCCACTTGGACATAGCATTGACAATACCAACTTTGGCTCTATGTTTGGACATCTGCACAGGCAAACAACCCATTCTTTGGAAAAGCTCCATTTGGAGCAGGGGTTTTGCTCTAAAACCTAACTATGGCTTCTTTTTTTTTTAAATCTTGACACAGCAACACATTGATGTGGAAAATATGTGTGTTCAAGTGCCATCAAAAATATCTGCTGGTCCTCTCTGTCCCTTGGTTAATAAATCTAGTTGTCACTTCCTTCCTCTGTGGAAAAGCAAATAACAGAGGTTGAAACGTGTGCTGCTTGCTGGCTGCAGGAAAATGGTCTATCAAGCTCTCATCTGTGGAACTGCTACACTTACATTATGAAGCTTTGCCAATTACACCCATTATGCAAATGAATGCACACATTATTTCAAACACTCTGCTGTGGTGTTGATTAATTAAATTATCAGAGTGGAACAATTTTAGCTAAGATGATGCCAAGTATCAGATCTCACAAACTCTATGCGCAATCACAGCCCATCAGAGCTCTGCTCCAGGAACTCAGGAGGCTTCAAGAAAAAGGTCAGACCTCAACATCAGTTGAATGCTGTGATGGTACTCAATGACCCTTTGGGCAGATCAGGAAACAGGAACACAGGAAAAAGGTTGTGTCTTGGGCAGGGTCCCTCTAGAGACCCTGCTGGGACTGCCAGCACCTCGTGGCATACCTTAAGCACAGAGCCATCCTTTTAGAGCCAGACTACATCCTAGGAGTGATGAGCTGCTAGTCCCTAAATGGTTCACATGAAGAGAGAGATGACCACATTCACCAGGAATGTGCCCATCGTCAAAGGGGTTCCACACAGCATCTTCTTAGAGACTTAGAAAATTAAATCTCAGCCACTGCACTACAGAATGAGGTACTTTTTCCTATTTAACACACCCCAAATGCTATGGTCTAAATTTAATTAACTATGGTACCTCCCAGGATAGCACTGGGGAGGTTTCTGACGGAGTATCGAAATCTCAGCTATGAAGGACCTTGCAAATCGGTTAAGAAACCGTCTGTGAGAGATGGAAAAAGGTGAGATGCTTTTTCACTCGAGAGGCTTTGGAGGCAGCTGGGTGGGGGCTGCAGGGGCAGCAGCCTGGCACTGCTGCCGGCACAGGGTGCTGTGCGGCCCCTCTGCACCTCCAGGTGGCACCTCAGCCTCGCTTATCCCCTGGAAAGGAATCCAAGGACATAGATTAGCCATATTCTTTTGGCAGAAAATCTCTTTCTTCTCCCAGACATCCTCCCTCGCTCCCCAAAAGGCAGTCCTGGATGCTTCTATTTATAGCTCCCCTTTTTGCTTACCCTTTTGTCCACTCTTGGAGAAGATACTATAAAATTGTGGGATTTCTTAACACCAAAATCCTTCTTGCATCTTAGATGGATCTCAGCCTGCTCAATTTTGTCTGTGTCACATTGCACCTCTAAGTTACCAACTGTTGAAACCCCTAATTATCTGGGCAACAATCATGATGACAAGTGTGGCAATGACCTGTGCCTATTCTTAACACTGTTATCCTTGTCACTTTGTGGGGAGGTGTCCCTGCCCAGGGCAGGGGGTTGGGACTAGATGATCTCTAAGATCCATTCCAACCCCTGAAATTCTATGATTCTATGATTTGGTATTTTCTGTTGTAAATTGTACTCTCGGATAGTTACAGTTCTGCCAAATGCTAATCATTTTGGCCCAAATTCTCCACAGCAGTTGGCTGTAACAGGCTGAGGGTCCAACACTCAGCTCAATGGTCTCATCACTTCCAGGAATAACATGAAGGAGTTTTGCAGCACCAGCAGGACCCAGTTGAGGGCTTATACAAGCTCCCCATGTTTGGGAGCAAAGACTTGTCCTGTGGCCCTGCTGGTGAGTCAAGGATGGTGTTTCTCCAGAAAATCACCCACTTTCACCCAGGCCAATTCAAACCACCCAAAATGGCACATAACTACTAGAGGCTTGCATGAGCACTGAAGGTAAAATCTCTGCTGATTCATCCTCCAAGTTTTCCTAGCTCTGTGGGACCTCAGAAGTTGTATTTCTCCTCCTTTCTCAGCAATGGGCCCCTCTCATGCTTTTCTTTCAGGGGACAGACCTGATGTTGAACTTCCCCACTGCTAACTGCCATGGCATCCTTGAGTGGGGCACTTCATCCCCAGAGGGGACTGTCCAGGATGGGCAGTGGCCTGGGAAGGGTCCTTGCTCCCCGAGAGAAAATACATGAGGAGAGACTGCAAGAAGTATAAGCAAGGACAGGGGATGGGGTTTGCCTGAGCAGGTAAACCCCAGGGAGCTGGAGAGCAGGGTCAGGTGGAGGAAGCAGGAGGCTGATGGGAGAAAAACTGGGAGCTGAGGAAGAAATGGGACTGTTATGAAAACTGGAAGTATGGCTGCAGAGGGGGGCAGCTGTGCTGAGCTGAGAGAGCAAAGAGCCTTGGTGGGAGGGAGTCTGGGGCTGGGACATGGCATCCCGTGGGGCAGGAGACTGCATGGGTCTCCTGCTGGCACAGGGGATGAGGGTGGGATGGGGACTCTGGCAGCAGTTATTCCACTGAGCCAGGAATAGGTCCATCTTCTGTCAGCAAAGACATTGGAATCCCACTGTCCCCTGTCTTTATAGCACTTATCCTCACAGTCAGAAGAAACACCTCTCCCCACCAGCTCTCCCTTTGCTACTGAAATCTGGAAAGTGCAGCTAAGACTCCTAACCTCAAATAGTTGTCACATGATGGAAGTTCTGGTTTTGTTTCCTTTA